TCAATTGTAAAAAAATCATACGGTAAAGCATAGCGTAGCCCACGAGCAACTTGCAAGCGAATTTTAAACAATTTTTTAAACTCCTTAAACTCAATCGGCCCTTCTCTGGACTTTCAGGAAAATTTTCTGTATATTATTGGGTATAAATAAATAAAGAAAAAATTAAAATTAATCATGTCCAAATTTTAAAAAAATCAAGTTTTTTTAATTATTTAAAAGTTGAAGAAAAATTAAAATTTTATTTCTTTGACAACTTTATTCTTAACTCAATACTTTCAAAGTTATAAGCTACTGAAAATAAGTCTACTTTTAAAAATCCTAAATTTCAAAAATTTGGGCAATCATAAAAAATTAAAAAAATATGTAAATATTTTTCTATAAAGAACGAGAAAAAAATATGTTTAACCGATTTTAAAATGTCATAGAAAAATTTCACGTTTTTTCAATTTTTTACAATTTTATTATATTTTTATTATGTTTTTATTATATTTTTATTATATAAACACTTGTCAATTTGTAAAAATAATTAACTCTAACAAATTCGGAAATTAAATTACTATAAAGCTTCCTTTGTTGCAGCAAAAATAATTTTTGTTTATACAAAAACGCTATTGCGTGTCTTGATTTATACAGTACTTTATTTCATAAAAGAGTACAATTTCTTTCGTAAACACATAGGGTAAATGTGCCAGTTACTGCAAAATTCTGGTTTAGCAGCCTTTGAAATAAAAAATTTGACAATTATAATAAAAGAAGTAAGTTTAAGGCTTATTAAATTTAAAGCTCGTTTTATTTAAATAATAAAACATTAATAAAAACTTTATAAAAATTCATTATTTAAAGAAATTAAAGCATTAAAAAAATTATATCAAAAGTGTAAATTACTGCGAGATTGAACCAGTTACTGCGATGAAAATGTATTTTTGTTATGTTACTCCCAGTAACATGCATTCAATGGAAATGTGCCAGTTACTGCGATAAGCAATTTTGGATCTTAAATAGTTAAATTAATAATAATAGTTTAAATGTGTTTCTTTACGTACAATGGTATTGAGTAAGGTAGAAAATAATTTTTTGAAACATTTTCAAATATTATATTATTTTATAATAATAAATAGTAGTATTTTTCAAATAATCTCAGTAATTGGAGCAATAGCAGTAATTGGTGCATCTATCCTATACATTGTTAACCGTATACATTATTAAATAAATGAATTTAAAAATTTTAACTGGAAAACTTGAAATAATATACAATAAAAAAAATTTAATATTTAAAGTAAAGAAATTCAACATTTTACATTTTATTTACGTTATAATGATTGGTTTACATAAAAAATTTATTGTATTATGGCAGTTTTTTATATTTCATTATCACGTTTTTCAAATAAAAAAATTGTGTTTCGATCTTCAATTTTATTTTCATCCTATTATATTTTATGTGAATGATTTTTATTTTTATTCCATTATGAAACAATGGACGAGGTACAAAAAATATGATATTAAATAAGAGTTGAAGCCTCTCGGAGGCAAAATCCAATCAGTTAACTTTATTTCGGTTCCTTTCAATTTTTTTAAATTTATATTATTATTAAACAATGCAATGTATAATTGAATTTTATAGATTTTTCAGCACGTTTTAAATTAATTTAATTTCCTATATGGGAATTGATTAAATTTGGAAAATTATTTCCAGTTTTATTAAAAAGAAATGTTTATTAATTTGCATTACAAAAAAAAGGTTTTCTGGTTAATATAATATATTAATATAATTTTGAATAGTTTTATTATTACCCGAGAATAAACAATTTTGTATATTAATTTAATTATTTCAGTATTAATAATATTTTTAAGAAGATTACTAATTCGTCGTTATCATTAAAATAAAACTTATTTCTGAGAGACCACGTGACGCTACGACTTTGTGAAACTTCTAAGCAATCACAACTTGAAATCAACAATGTCACTAAAATAATGAGTAATAAATATGTACCCTGTTCGGAAAAAAGCAATGCTAATTTTTAAATATTTAGTAAATTCTTCCACAGTTATTTAATAAATTAATTTTTTCGATTTTTGGAAGACGTATATAAAAGGTAAAAGAAAAACACTCTTTTACTTTTTTATAAAATAGACGACGTTTCGGTGGTCAGGTTCGCCACCATCATCAGGTCACTTTAATAGAAAAATTTTTTTAAAAAAATTAATACAACAAAATTTTGAAAATTTAAATTTAAACAAAAAATAAAAAACAATTTTTACCTAGTTAAAGTCAATAAATAAACATCACGTCAATAAATTAAAAACATAAATAAACGCAATACAACAAAAAAATAAAATATTTAAATTTACAAATCACAAACATATTAAAACGAGTGATTAGTCAAACTGACTGAGCCGGTGACAATTTTCGCGTTATATACAGTCGATGGGGTCAATGACCCGCAATCGAAATATTATGAATTATAACCATTATTTCAATTTATTAAGCAAAGGAAAATAGGAATTACTAAGAAACTGTATATCTTCCTTCTTGTTAATAGTAAAATTATTGCATTTAATATAAATCATCTCAGAAATTAATCGTTTTTTATAAGAAGTTTCATAATCTAAAATTTCTGCATCGTCAAAATTAAAAGAATGATTATATTCAGTTTGATGTTTGTTCACAACGGATTCGAGGTTTTTGTTTTTATGCTCGCTAATTCTTTTTTTCAAAGTACGCTTTGATTCACCAATATATGTTGCAGGGCAACTATTACAATTAAATTTATAAACAATATTATTCCGATCCCACTTTTTTGTCAAGTCCTTTCCTAATTTTATTACAGAGCTTAAGCTTTTTTCCACAATAGGAATAGAAAGTAAATTATATTTTTTTAAAATATTAGATAATTGATAATAAATATCATTGAAAGGAATACAGATTTTAGGTAGTTGTTGATAAATACTAACGACATTGTTAGTTTGTTTTTTATCTATTGTTTTATGAATTAATGTATGTTTTCGTTTTTTAATATTTTTTTGTATAAATTCTAAAGGGTAATCGTTGTTTTGCAAAATTTTAAAGATTCGTTTAATGTTTTCATTATGAAAGGACTTGTGAGACAATAAAATTGCTCTATCATATAAATTGTAAACAATGTTTTTCTTTTGTTGAATTGGATGACGTGAAAAATAATTTATCAATCTATTAGAAGAAATGGATTTTTGATACCAATTAGTGATGAGTTGATTGTTATTTTTTATTAATGTCATATCTAGGAAATTAATTTTATTATCCATTTCTAGTTCATGAGTAAATTTTAAATTAATATTAAACGAATTAAAAGTGTCAATGAAAAGTTCGACTTGATCTTTATGGACGCACAAAAGTGTGTCGTCCACATATCTATAATAAAATAGAGGAACACAATTGAAATTGTTTTTAAGCAATGCAAATTTTTTGCGGATATTGTAATGGATGACGTGGAAACTGATTGTTTGAATTTGCTTAAAAACAATTTCAATTGTGTTCCTCTATTTTATTATAGATATGTGGACGACACACTTTTGTGCGTCCATAAAGATCAAGTCGAACTTTTCATTGACACTTTTAATTCGTTTAATATTAATTTAAAATTTACTCATGAACTAGAAATGGATAATAAAATTAATTTCCTAGATATGACATTAATAAAAAATAACAATCAACTCATCACTAATTGGTATCAAAAATCCATTTCTTCTAATAGATTGATAAATTATTTTTCACGTCATCCAATTCAACAAAAGAAAAACATTGTTTACAATTTATATGATAGAGCAATTTTATTGTCTCACAAGTCCTTTCATAATGAAAACATTAAACGAATCTTTAAAATTTTGCAAAACAACGATTACCCTTTAGAATTTATACAAAAAAATATTAAAAAACGAAAACATACATTAATTCATAAAACAATAGATAAAAAACAAACTAACAATGTCGTTAGTATTTATCAACAACTACCTAAAATCTGTATTCCTTTCAATGATATTTATTATCAATTATCTAATATTTTAAAAAAATATAATTTACTTTCTATTCCTATTGTGGAAAAAAGCTTAAGCTCTGTAATAAAATTAGGAAAGGACTTGACAAAAAAGTGGGATCGGAATAATATTGTTTATAAATTTAATTGTAATAGTTGCCCTGCAACATATATTGGTGAATCAAAGCGTACTTTGAAAAAAAGAATTAGCGAGCATAAAAACAAAAACCTCGAATCCGTTGTGAACAAACATCAAACTGAATATAATCATTCTTTTAATTTTGACGATGCAGAAATTTTAGATTATGAAACTTCTTATAAAAAACGATTAATTTCTGAGATGATTTATATTAAATGCAATAATTTTACTATTAACAAGAAGGAAGATATACAGTTTCTTAGTAATTCCTATTTTCCTTTGCTTAATAAATTGAAATAATGGTTATAATTCATAATATTTCGATTGCGGGTCATTGACCCCATCGACTGTATATAACGCGAAAATTGTCACCGGCTCAGTCAGTTTGACTAATCACTCGTTTTAATATGTTTGTGATTTGTAAATTTAAATATTTTATTTTTTTGTTGTATTGCGTTTATTTATGTTTTTAATTTATTGACGTGATGTTTATTTATTGACTTTAACTAGGTAAAAATTGTTTTTTATTTTTTGTTTAAATTTAAATTTTCAAAATTTTGTTGTATTAATTTTTTTAAAAAAATTTTTCTATTAAAGTGACCTGATGATGGTGGCGAACCTGACCACCGAAACGTCGTCTATTTTATAAAAAAGTAAAAGAGTGTTTTTCTTTTACCTTTTATATACGTCTTCCAAAAATCGAAAAAATTAATTTATTAAATGCTAATTTTTAATTGATAAAATAAAATATATTTGTTTTATATCTTGATTTTTAATAACAAGCATGTAAATTGAAAAGAATAATAACAATTTCTCAGGTTTTGAAATTTAGAAGAAAATCACCTACTCACTTATCACGAAAAATAATCGTTTAACCACTGTTGTATTCATAATTCACGCATTTTTTGTTTTTATTTTCACTGTACCGACATTATAACAGCGCCGCGGATCAGGGCACACTGCCAGTTCAGATATAGAGGGAAGTTTCAGGTCTTACCTCCAAGTGGCGCTTCGAACGCAAAAAACAACCCCTCAACCTGATAGAATGAGAAGTAAAACAAGAACAATATAAAAAGAAAGTTGTGTGTAAATAAGAATATATATATATATATATATATATATATATATATATATATTGGGAAATCGAACAGGTAAGGGAGAAGAAGGGGTAACTCTATAGGTCCATTGAACTAAAAGTTATATCCATGCCATAATTCATGCTGTTTCTCTCTCTATCATACTTTTATAACTTTTGACTGCAATTATCGCAGTAATTGAATCAGTCGAGTATCAACGTAAATCAAGAAACTCCCAACTAATTCTAATTTTATTCGCACGTATATGTTTGCACATGAAGCTGCTGATATTGTTCGAAATGCATTCACCGTAAGCTTATTTCACTTTTATCTTAATTACTCGATAATTATTAAGACACTCTGTTGTTAACTTCTTCCCTCTAAAACACAGGAAAATTAATTTAATTTACTTTACTATTACTAATTATATTTTATTTTTTGGTTAATACATCATTTTAATTTTATATTAAAATTTAGTTTAATTTATTTTAATTAATTATAATTTATCATAAGATTGATTATTCCTTGGTCGAATTTTTATGTGAGTGATTCTCCGCGTAGCGCATGACTTGGTTTTCCCATGTTTTAAAATAAAAAATGCAAATTGTTATATGCTATTACAAATCTAATAATGTACACTGAAAAAACTGGAGGTTCTTTGTGAACATTTAGAGGGATAAAGAGTTTATATTTGAGAGTTAAATATTGGAAAATAATCTGAATATTGAAATACACCATTCACACATATTAGAGATATTTCTACTAGAGGGAAAATAAGTTTATGGGATTTTGTAACTTTTTTGGCCCTAAAATCGGAAGTTTTAAAAAAATTTCTTGCTCAAAGTTTGAAAATATAATTGATCAAAAGTTTTTTACATGTCATAGTGTATGTTGAAAAGTTTTAAAAAAAGAATTTCAGATTTGAAAAAATATAAGAATCTTTTTTTTACAAAGGGCGCTTTGTCCACTAATAAAAATTACTTTAAATTACGGTTCACCGCAGAAAAATCTTAAATAAAAAAATCAAATATAATTTCAAAACAGACGACTTAATACAGGTCCTATACCTCAAAATATTTATTTATACACTCGTCTTTTTGCCTTAATCTAGCGTTACAAGTGTCCCCGTGGAATTTTTCTTACAAACTATACTTATATACTAAATTTTTGCGTCTACAGAACGGCTTGAAATTAGGAGTACTCGCATTTGCTTGGACCACCCGTCTAATGGGTTTTCTCGCCAGTGGAGAGGGAAACTGTAGAAAACCTCTCCGAGCCAATATCTCAAAATATTCAAAAACATCAAAAATGAAGAAAATGGCAAGCTTTTTAATAAAAAAAGTTTGAAATAACACAATTTTTTACCATGAAGTAGGAAGTGAGGGCAATGCTACCGTGTGATATAAAAACTTAGTAAACTGACATTTTGATGAAAAATGAGTTTTTGGTATCAATGAACTCGTAAGAAAAAACTGCGTCCAATAGTTATAGTTTAAATTATTTTTGCAAAAAATTGTTATTAAAAATCTTAGAAATTCCAGAAAATAAAAGTGTTAAAGATGAATTTTGGATATTTTAATTTACCATTCAAAATTCTTATTTTTACAAAAAATTAGTTTTAAACATTTGCTGGACAAATAACAAAAATTAAAATAAAAATATCTCAAGGTATTTGCCCTTCGGAAATTATTTATTTAAAGGTAGTGGACCCTTACTTAGGTTGTTATTATTCAAGAATCCCGAAAATCGTCGATTTCTTAAATGTTTCTTTTTCAGAAAATTTTCGGAATAGTAAATTTCGACTAAATTTGTTATTTATTTTCATTTTCAAACTGATAAGCGAAAATTTAATTTCTGAACGAGTTTAAAAATTTCTAAAAAAGAAAAGTTCATCAATTTTTCGTTTTTTTCTACAGAAAATTTTAAAAATTTGATTTTTCACAAAATTTATTAAATTTCCATCTAAATCATACGCAAAAAATAAGTTTTTAAACGAATTTGCAAATTTTAAAATCGTCGTTTTTTCGTTTTTTTATAGGAAATTTAAAAATTTTGAAATTCGACGATTTCTTCGAATTTTCTTTTTTTCTTCTTCAAAAAATTTTCGGAATCGTAAATTTCGACTAAATTCGTTATTTATTTTCATTTTTAAACAAAAATTTACTCGAAAAATCAGTTTTTGAACGATTTTAAAAATTTCTGAACAATAAAAATTGGTCGATTTTTTCGATTTTTTTTGTACAGAAAATTTAAAAAACTTGATTTTCGACTAAATTCATTAAATTTATACATTTTTCATCTAAATTATACGCAAAAAATAATTGAAAATTTTTCAAAATTTAAAAATCGTCGTTTTTTTCGTTTTGCTTCCTCATAAAGGAAGCCTTATAGTGATGTCGATTTCCGAATTTTTCAGAATCAATTATTTTTACAAATTTTCAAGTGTAGTGTATATAGTTCGTCGAGAGGAACAAATGTCCGGATGTATGTGTGTATGTATGTGTGTGTTTGTGTGTGTATGTCACCGATTCTTGTGGACAAATTTTCTCTTACACGTCTTGACGGATTTTGATAAAATTTTGTAGGTGTATTACGGTCATGAATACTAAAAATCAGACAGAAGGATTTTCAAAAATATCTAAAAAAAAAATTTTTTTTAACAATTTTTTAATTTTTGAAAAAATTAATTTTTGGATTTTTTAAAATAACTTTTTTCTATATTAAAATTTTCATTAATTCTTGTCAAAATTGCATTCCTGACATAAAAATGAATCGATTCATGTATATAAAGTATATATTTTATCAATATTTATAGAATTAATAAATATTTTAGATTTTCATAAAAAAATTGAAATTTTGTATTTTTTGAAATTTTATCTTAATACTTTAAAATAATTATTCTATAATAAAAAAATTGAATAATTAATTTTTTTTCAGGGTACTTTACCCGGTAGAAACTTTCTATTAAAACTATTATGAAAATGACCATAACGTTCACATTTTTTACCTAGAGAGTTAAAAATTGGCACACGTGTATTTTTACGCGTAGATCACACGAGAAATATAGCTAATGCGATTAAAAATTAATTTTGTTCGATTTTCGTAAAAAAGACATAGAAAATAAAAATATTTATATGTATATTATAGGAAAAATATTTTTTGAATTAATTTTCATAGCGTTTTCAGTGAAAAAATAAAATCTCTTTTTGTGTACTCAAAAATATTTTAACTCCAGCTGGTTCTCACAATTCCAATTCTAGTGGTCAATTCTTTTCAATTAAAATTCAGAATATAAAAACTATAAAAATTTGTTTTTAAAGAATTAATTAGCAGATATGAACAGAAGAAATTAATTTATAAATAATTATTTATTCAAAATAATGTTTTTATAGGTTTCTATAATATCCTTCGTTACATATATATAGTGTAACTAATACTTGTTTGATTTAATTTTTTTTTATTTATTGTAATTAATAAATGTTTTTATAAAATAAATGAGAATACATAATAAAGCAGCAGCTTTTGCTACATAAATTATTTTAAATAAAAATCCATGTAATATATGTTACTCGCTAAATGTAAAATCGATGAGAAAACATTTTTTGAAAATATTAAAAGACGAAGCTCCTAGTGATTTTCCAGAACAAATATAACATATATTTTAATATAGATAAAATGTATCTGATTTTAAAATTAAAATAAATATAAGAATTTAAAAATTTTGTGTTTTAAATTTTGTTATTTTAAATATTAAGATAATTTTGAAAATTAGTAAAATTTATGATAAACTATATAACATTAATTTTTTTTGATTTATTAAAAAGAAGATTTATTAATTATATTTAATAAACTATTATAATTATTTAACTTTTAAAATTATATATAATAATATATATTGAGGAAGCTTAATGATCATGAAATGAACAACTTGTTTTTTCTATGGGAAATTTGAAAATTTTGAAATTCGTCGATTTCTTCGAATTTTCTCCTTCAGAAAATTTTCGGAATCGTAAATTTCGACTGAATTTGTTATTTATTTTCATTTTCAAACTGAATTATCAACAAAATTTCAGTTTTTGTACGAGTTTAAAAATTTAAAAAATTAAAAAAAAAATAAAAAAAAGTTTAAAAAATTTAAAAAATTTCTGAAAAAGAAAAATTCATCAATTTTTCGTTTTTTTTCTACAGAAAATTTTAAAAACTTGATTTTTAACTAAATTTATGAAACTTATTTATTTTCCATCTAAATTATACGCGAAAAATAATTTAAAATTTTTCAAAATTTAAAAATCGTCCCTTTTTTTTCTTTTTTTTCTATAGAAAGTTTGAAAATTTTGAAATTCGTCGATTTCCTGGAATTTTCTTATTTTGTTCTTCAGAAAATTTTCGGAATCGTAAATATCGACTAAATTCATTTTTTATTTTCATTTTTTAACTGAGTTATAAAAAAAATTTCAGTTTTTGTACGAGTTTAAAAATTTCTGACAAAAAAAATTCATCAAAATTTCCTTTTTTTTACAGAAAATTTTTAAAAACTTGATTTTCGACTAAATTCATTAAATTTATTTATTTTGCTTCTAAATTATATGCGAAAAGTAATTGAAAACTTCTCAAAATTTAAAAATCGTCGTTTTTTTCGTTCTTTTATCTATTTAGGAAATTTAAAAATTTTGAAATTCGTCGATTTCTTCGAATTTTCTTCTTCAGAAAATTTTCGGAATTGTAAATTTCGACTTAATTCGTTATTTATTTTCATTTTCAAACAGAATTAGCATCTCTCAAATCGGAATTGGAAGTGCGTCGACGAGAAAGAGAGGAGAACTTGATGATGGTATTCCGTCATGGACACCCCACTCTTGTGACAATGAAAACTCGGACATGACTATCCACTCTCACAATGCAAGTGAACCCTCACACAGTGAATATACAACTAT